CTTTCCCTCATCCCTACTTAGTTTGAATGTCAAACCTGTTCAGCAATCACATAGCTTTTGGTAGTAATGAAGGCAAATAAATAATGCTTGACCTTTCCTAGGGAGATCTGGAGACCCTTCCAAAGCTAATTAAGGTTTGTTTGATTCACTGGAATTAGCCAAGATCTTCATGCAAAGTTTCCAAATTTGGAATAACATTAAAATGTTGTATATTAAAATTGGGACGGGGGAAAGGTCTGGCCTTCCTACCATCTTAAAACCTTCCCATTTTAAAGCACTTGCTATGAATAGAAGAAAAGAAATTAGTCAGTGTCCTGCTCATTAGGCTTCACTGTTGCTGTGAAGGGTATTATCTGGACTTCCCCACACTGGGGATTTTTTTTTTTTTTGACAGAGAATTTTTCTTCTGCATGTTTGGTGCATGTTTCTATTTCGGATCACTTTTGAATGGTGACTAACAAATTTGTAGTAGCTCATGACATGAAAGTGAACTGGTTACTAATTCAGATTCAGGCTTGGAGACTCTCCTAGTCTCCTAAGCTTGGCCTTAACATATGCAGGGTTGAAAGACAATCTGTGTAGTCGGCCTTTTCTGTACCACACTGTGCCAGTGCAATTAGTGCCATCATTACGTCCATGCAGTTGTCAAAGTATATGCATATTTATTTTTTTTCTTGGTAACTTATAGTCGCATTTCTGAACACACAGCCCAGATCTATGAAGAAAACTGTGCACTTTTTTTGGTTTTAAAAAAGCCTCCATCTCTCATAATGTAAAATATATAAGAACATCAAAATTAATTCAGTTTGCAAATCCTGCACGCAGGTCTTGCTACCCTGAAACGCAGGTTTCTCTTCATTATTCGCATTCCTTCTCCTCTCATTGTCTTCTCCCCGATGGACTGATTTCCATGCATGAATGGAAGGGAAAATACCATCCTCAGTAATGCAACCAGGCTGATCCTTCCGTTACTACATTTTGTGCTGTGGGTTTATCTTTGCATTTTGTCCTTTTTGCTGAGTCAAAGAACACATGAAAGGACTTTGTTCGCTGTAACCTGCATGACATTGTACTCCCGTGCTTGCCTGTGATCTCCCTTTGCAGTACCTTCATAAATATCAATGCCATAACATTTGAACACAAGTTGAAGATTAAAGACATGAGTATTATCTCACTTAAGTACCATTTGGAAAATAGATGGCAATGAAACTGAAAATGCAGACAGTTTAGATGACTTAGTTTTTTAGCATTAATAAGGGAACCTAAGTAAGTCAATCCAAGAACGAGAACTTCAGGAAGATTTTGTTTCCTCATTTATATTCCTTTTGAAAAAGAGAAAGTTTCAAAAAGTGGTCTCAGCTGGAAGCATTCCTTTAGCCAAAAGAGTACCAAAACGAAGGCAGTGTGTCAGCTCTGACAGTCTTTCAGAAAGAGGGGAAAAATACTTTTGTTCACAGAATGAGAGGTATTCAAAAGTTTTCCCTCAAATTAATTTTTTTTTTTTTTCTAACGGCTTGGCCAGGGTTTTGGTCTAAGTCAAGCATATCTCCATTTACATAAGTAATTTACATCACCTGAAAACCTAACTCCCATTTCTATATATAATCATAATTTTTAAAAATTTATTGATTGGCTAGACTGAAATGAGCATCATTATAAATCAGTCATTCCAAACAGCCTCCAAATATAACAAGCATTACAAATTAATAATGTCATGCTGGTCATTAATTTTGATAACCAAAGAATTTCCATTAGTGAACATACTTGCTAGTTAGTTATTAGTGTTACATTTATTTAATAAGTAACAATTACAGTGTGTTAGAAGCCAGTTCCTATTATTTCATTCTTTCAAAGCTGTTCAATATTTGTGACTGATGTGTATGTAAGTTTGTTCCTTGAAATACTGATTTTCCTTTTATAAATTGAGAACTGTGTTTTGTTAGATAATTTTGCATAACACATTTTGTTAATCTTAGACTGTTAAGAAATATTCAATAGTACACCTTATCAATGAGAAATCAGTCGCAATATTTCTAATTTGCAGTCAAGGAGACTGAATTAGAGACAGGCTGTGTAGCACAAGTCATGAAGTGAGTGTCAAAGCTCAGAACAGAATAAATGGAATAAATTATTCAAATACTCTGCAGCACTAGTCTTATATATATACTGGAGGATTTGACATAACACTTATTAGGATGTGATAACATTAAAGATATTTGTAAATACAGACAGATGAATTTGCTCTATTTTGATTTGGAAATGAGATTTCCTAAAGAGCATGAATATTTTTCAGATCCTAAAATCATGAACCAGTCTTAAAATTGAAATATATTTCTTTCTAGCTTGTAGTCATCTCTGACAATGAGGACCAATGTACATCACATACTTGCAGCAAAGCAGCTGTGCTGACATTTTAGTCTTTTCTCAGAATTCTTTTGGGTCTACCTTCAGAAGCTTTACAGAAAGATGTGATATATATTAAAGAGTAAAGACATAAAATCATACTTGAGTTTTCCTTAACAGCTCAGAGATATTTCACTTCTCATGTTCTATGTCTCCTGATACAGACCCAGCATCCTACCACCACCAGCAGCTCCTCACCTCGTTACCAGACGCAAGACTTGCAGGTCTTCCGGTCCTCAAGGCTGTGCTCTCCTCTCTGCAGTATTGGTGTTCTTTATTCGCAGAAAAGTAAGACAAAACATCACTTGTTAATACAGTGTTGTTGTGAGAGTGGGAACAGAGAGTAGCCGGGTGGATAGCTTCAAAAGCAATTACCAGTTGCTGCCTGCATTTCTAGAGAACAATGACAGTTTTAGCCATTCCTGATGGCCATTTGTTCTCTTTTCTGATGCATCATTTGCTCTACCTGGTTGGACAATCCAGAGAACTGAATTGTGGCAGGACCTGTGTGTAGAGCACCACAAGGCGCTCTAAGGAGGAGAACCTTGGTGAAGCTGCAGGAGGACAATGAAGTCTTGTCACCTTCCTAGGCCTTGAACCTCCCCAGGTTTTTGAAAGCTATACACAGTAAATATGGGAAATATGCTCTAGGTGACCCTGCTTGAGCAGGGAGGTTGGACTAGATGATCTCCAGAGGTCCCTTCCAACCTAAATGATTCTGTGATTCTGTGTAAGGTGCTTCCCTGACCAACCACCATAGCTGCTTCCAAGATAGGAAGGTGGCTAATAAAGTTTTGTATAAGATAGCCAGCAAATGAAATGGAGCAATATAGCTTGCAGCCCCTATGAGTGCCTGACTGCACTCTCTTCCAGGTCTGCTCACCTTGAATTAGTTTTTTTAAATGCAGTAGAACAGCTGTGACAGCTTGAGTTGGTAATTCCACTGTCCTGACAAGAGTGAACAAGTTGGTCATCCGGGCTCTCTCTTGTTAGAAGTTAGGTAGACGGAGAAAGAAATGGAACTAGGGCCTTCCACTTCCTAAGACTGTATAGACACACTTAAGACTTTATAGACGTTTTTCTAGAAGAGGAAACACTATTCCACCACTAATAGCAGCCACCATGTTTTTAAAGGAGGACACCAGCAACCTGTTATCATTAATCAATTCACAAAAGTTGATTTTGAGAGGAAGGAAATATCAAACTTCTGAGGAGAGATTTTAAGATGTCCTCCTCTTCTCAGCATTTCTTATCGATTAGTACTAAGCGCCTCACTGCTCACTGTACCACAGCTCCGACTACTGCACAGGCAAATGTTATAACACCATGTTACGGCTTCCCCTTCACATATTAAGCCACTGATAATTCAGATGCCTCAGCGCCCAGCTTTCTGGTGTCTCTTTCAGACCCAAACTAACAGGAATTCACTGCATATGAGAACTGTGACCCTAAAGATCTTCAGCAGCTTTGAGAAAAGAGCCTGCCCAACATAATACAACTACGTATATGTTCTTTTAGGTTTTCTTTATTTATATTTTTTTAGTTCAAGAATTACACACTAGCCAACATTATTATATATTTACATGCTGAAACTGGCTGCAATAAGTTTAAATTCAAGAAAATATCTCTTATGTGCTACTCATTTACAATCATCATTTTACTACCTCATATGTCCCAGAGGTTAGCAGTCCTTTTGAGAAAGACATGAAGAGCTGATGCAATGATATCCACTAGTATTTTGCATTTTCTAGCCATTGGAAAATGTGCATTATGTGCATATAAGAAAGGCTACAAGGTCATTAGTAAGGCTGATGATTACTACATTATGAAGTAAATAGTACTAAGTAAAAAAGATAAATCAGAACTGTGCAAAGACAGTACTAACAGAACCATTTAAACACCCATGCAAATAAAAACATGATAGAAGTCAAATCATAGTCACCTTGTCAGAATTAATCATGTTTCACATGTTCATTTTGTCTTCAACTGAAATTAATAGGACAGACCATGAACAATACAGCCTGGTGAATATCTGTCAAATGACAGCAACAGTGAAAACATACAAAACGTTATCAAATTGGAATAGATGACCTCGTGTCTGAAAAAACATTAAAAAAATACAACCCTTAGTATGAAAGCATAGGTGAGATTTTTCATCATTTAAGTTTTTTTTTTTTGTCAAAGCACTTACACAGAAAATAATTTTATACTTATGAAATGGTTGTGTTGCATATCTTTGTAGAGATGATCTATTTCAATTTAATATTAATGGATATTTAAATTGTTGCTATTTTTACAAAGTAGAATAGGGCAGTATTTTTGATCAACATTCCATTTGCCTCTTAAAAATTTAGACAAAGTTCCTAGTGCATTTTATTAAGCTTTACCTTTGGTGTTAAGCAGTGACTTATTAGATTTCCCTTTTAAACAATTTCTGGAGTGAAGATTCTTTGGCTTTGGGGGACTATACTATCTAACGACAGTCAAACAACTTTTTTTTTTTCCAAAGAAAAATATAAGTCTACTATTAGATACCGTAAGAGATACAGATTTCAGAAACAGACAGACGCAGTATGCAGGCTTTCTGTAATGAAATCACTAACAGCTGAATTCTCACTTACCCTGTATTCCTCTACATCTCCACCTCCTGGAGCAACATACAGGTGGTACCTTACTGTAAGTGAAAATCATGCCCTATTGGTTTATGCTAATCTGAGTACTGAGTGTCAAACTACAATTTTCTGTTGCTTGAACTTTTTGACCATACAAAAGAACCTGTTGTGCTAGCAGTAACATTGTTGCAATGGCTATTTTACACTACAGTACTTTCTGTACTTTTTATATCTGTAATCCAAATCTGTTTATGCAAAAGGGTGTTTAAATTACTCTGCTAGAGCACTGCAATTATTGTACTTAGTAAAAAAAAGTCACTAAACAATACTGTATCTATTGACTGCTCATTTACAGCTTATTTAGTTATTTACATAATTTTAGGACACATTAACCTAAACCATAAATAGAATTAGCTTTTTGCCTTACCATAAAGTACAAATTAGAAGTTAAAAATGTTTAAGAAATCTGATAATATTTACACACGCTCAGCTTAAGTTATGGTTGCTCACATTGTATGTTCTATGTACACATAGCAAAATGTTATGATCACTACTGATATAGTATTGTACTCTGGCCATCCCACCCTAGATTATTTTCTAGAAATACTTAATATTTTTGCCTTTTTTTTTTCTCGGTTCCCTTAGGACTTCCTTGTTTTTGAAAACTTACTAGTGGACAACGCTGTTATAAAAAGAGAGAGAAGAAATAGGCAAGCAATGTGAGGACTTATCTAATTTCAGATGCTAGGAGGTACAGCACTATTGTAATGTCAAACGATGTGATGCTTCATACGAATTATATGCACTGATTTGCTGATATAGAAATGCCCAGTTACCCTGTATATTTAGGTTTTTTTTTTTAATACATTTATCTGTTTTCTCAAAAATATATTCATACACTGGTTGATGATAGAAACAAAACTATTATTAGCTTATTCCTTTAACACGCCAACATATGAATGTGTGTGCATATATTCAGCACAGATGAATATATACACACATATGTCCATATAGACATTTATGTATGTCCATATGCACATAAACTTGGATAATGTTTAACATTTGTTTACTTATGTTTAGTACTGTGTTAATTATAGATTTGGAACACAGTCTTACAGTTATAATGAAAATTAATTGACCTTTAATTTTAATGCACATTTTGTCTGAAATAAGTAGGATTTGTTCCCCAGGTATAAGACCACCAGTCATTTTCTCTATGCATTGTGCTTTTGTTCCTTACAGATTTTATGTCCTTTGTATTAGAATGTAAAAACTCTCTGAAGAATCCTGCAACATACTATTGTTTGAAACTCTGTTTTCCTCCCCTGGGAATGAGAAAAGAAATGTTCAAAATGTCATTGCTTGAGTCTTTCTTCCCAGTCATTAAACTGCAATAGGACAGAAACATTACATTCCTTATGCAAACACAGAAATGTTGCATGAATTTCAGTTCTGAAAATGTGTATCATACTTACTAGCAGTCATATACAGTATATATTTACAGATTGATCTCAAAGACTTTGTTAAAACTGTGCCATGTTATATTCATAATTTGCCAATGAATTTCACAAAGATGAAAAACACCTTAATTGCTGGCTATCATGTCTAATAGAACAATAAAATGTGTAACTATACTGCAAGCTTTATCTAAATTATTAACTTTGATATTTTACTTATTGAAGCTAACAACAATGAACAGGAGTAAAAGGATCTAGAATACTGATTTTTGGTCGGTTCTAAAGTAAAAGCAAGTTTATTCTAATTTACCTGGAGGGTAGCACACACAATACAAACCGTAGCTCATGTATGGTGGCATAATTCTCACTTTCACTCAAGCATCTCAGAAGAGGAGTAAGTGATCAACTTGAGCACTTGAGTTATACTTTTTCCTTGACAGTGCCTCGTCAGTCTTTCTTACCCCTGTCTTCTTCATATCACAGTGTTTAGCCTTAGTACAACATGATAACCACTCCATTTCTGAAAGAACCCTTCCCTTCTACTAATTTTTATACATCACATTAATAGCCAGAAGGACATAGTAAAAGTGAAAGTGCTCTTTCCTCCTAGATAACATACCTTTCCTAGTGACACCTGAGCAGAAACCAGACATTTTCTTTCACTCTCCGAGTAGCAGTATCAGAGAGTAGTATGGCTTGTACTATAACTTGAGATGAATTAATGTGCAGTTCTAGGATTTAATCTCAGTAGTTTTCATAACAGCTGATGCAGTAAACCAATGCAAAAAATTGACATGTTCTCTTTAAGGTTTTGGATTTGAGGTGTATCTACCACAAACACGCTGTGAGCTCCCAGTATTCACAGTATGCTTCTGTGAAATTAAAAAAAAGTTGGAAGCAATTTTTGAAATGAAAGAAAAACTTGTACAGAAGAATACTATAAGACTGCTTTTATTTATTATAAAGGGTACCGTTTTTGAAGAACAGACTTTGAAGAGAAATACTGAGTTTTGGTGTGGATCCTTTTCTTAGAATTAGGAAAAAATTTCCAACATGATTCAAAATTAACAGATGAAATTTCGAAAGCATCTACAAAGCTTAATGCTTGCTGCACGAAATGCAGTCAGAAACTATGCGTGTAAACAAAAAGCAACATTTTGACTTGGAAAGCTAAACATTTGATGAAAAGCTTGACTCTACGTATTTCAGAGTCTGAACCTGGAGGCAATACTTGAACATACACACAATTCCCCTGAAAACAACAGGTGGTGTGTGCGCCCAAATCTCATTTCAGGGTCAAAACTGTTCTCTCCCATTTGAGGCAGAAATAAGCATATGCTATGGTCAAAATGAAGTCAGAAACAATTGAATAAACTTGGCAGTTCCCAAAACTGTTTTCCTCCTATGCTGTCATTCCTTTAAATGAGGGGAAAAAGCAGAAAGTTGTAAGAAAATGATTCTTTTAAAAGAAGAAAAAAAATCAGTCTTGTTATGAAAAATATTCTTCACATCTATCTTAAAGGATTGTTCAATTAGGGGGAAGAATCTGTCTGAAAATTTTCTTTTGCTGTTTGGAAGATATAGGAATCTCAGTTTCTTTCAAAAGTTTATAAACAAATGAGAGGTAGCAGAAAGACAACAGGATTGGTTTTTTTCTTTGTTATGTATTTTCTGTCAAACGATACTGGGATCTGGTTTTGTAAAAGCCATAAGGAATGTATACTCTTTATACTGTTCCTGTGATTTTTTTCATTACATAAAAATAGTTTCAACAATGGAATAAATGGCATATTCTATTCACTTTGCCCAAACTTTAGGAATAGTTTGCCTATAAACTTAAAGCCCTACGGCATGGGAAAAAATTATGTTCCATTTTAAAGTTTCCTACAGCAAAACTGAATTTTGCTATTTTTTTTCCAACAGAAGTCACTCTAAAGCAAGAAATACCAAGTGTGTAACTAAGTAATTAAAGTGATGCCTACCAATTCTTTTCCTTGGAAACAATGCATTAAGCTAAACAAAACAAAAAAGTGAAATGGTATTGCCTAATCCAGCTTAAGAAAATACCCTGTCCTTATTTTTTGTAATAAAGTACGTATGGTTGGTCGCTATTTTCCAAAGAGCCATGGGACCTTCAGTCAAATGGGATGTTAGGTGTTAAGCGTAACAACAGTGGCAAGCGTAACGCTAGAAAAATTACAACCTTGAAAGAAATTAGAGAACTCCACAAGTATTTTAGACAAAGGTACGTATTGTGACTGACATCACTCATTTGCACAGTGTATATGTATATATATAGTTATATATATATACATGTAGCATTCCCTTTCCTTGGTGCTGTATTTTTTAATTGCAGTCTACCTTTTCATACCCTAGAAGGGTAGGACACCATTGGCTTTCTTTAGCCACCTAGAAAATTATTTTTTGGCCCACCAACATTTGGCACTTTGGACAAATGATTCCCTTTCCCCAACACGAAACAAGAGCATATCTACCCGTTCACAACAAGACCATTTGATCCACCTTTGTGTCATTGCTACATTTCTCTGCTGATCACAACTATAATCATTGTGATTGTGAGCACGTTCTCTCTTAAAAATCCAAATAAAACTAGTGCTTTTTGCTTCAGCTTCTGTGCAAACACCCAACCCTCACATTATCAGTCAAAGGTTTAGCTCTTTCAAAAATTAACAGGAAATACGTGAATACGGCTGGGAAACCTCTGAGCATCATCATCTTGGAAAGATGACAGGCACTACTTGTTTTCAAGTTTACATTTTCAAAAGGTAAAGCGTATGTTTTGTAAGCATGATAACGTCTTAGCACACTCTCTTAAGTGTAGATGCACATATATTGGATACGCAGTTTCACAAGGAAATAGTACATACTGCTGCTGAAACTAAAACCTGTTTCTCAGATGCCTCTCTTCGTAATTTGTGTCATTAAACTCATACGAGTATTAAAATGGAAAAGAGAGCGCAAGAGACAGCAAGAGAGAAATGATTGTCAGAATCCAATTTGCCTCCACACTCAAAATGCACTTATATTTTGGAAAGGGGGATACGTCCACACTGCAACTTAAGAACGTGTTTACGGTTTAGCGGAAACAACCAAAAATTTATAAAACAGACCATAGAGTGGGCCAGCAACTAAGGTGTTTTAAAATAACTTTTTGTCCTGAATAGAATTTTTCTAAGTCCCACTTTTGGCTGTACAACCGATTTGAAGAGAAATCCAGTTCTTGTTTCCTGTGTGGCTTTGTTTCTTAGTTCACATAGTAAAGCCAATAGACAATATTGAAGAAGGAAAAAACAACAGGGAAGAATATGCGTGACCATCGATCTATGGCATTTACATCAGTCAAGTCAGGGATGGTAATTTTCAGTTGAGATGCACGTCTCCGTAGCCTACTTTTCTTTTGTGCCACGTGTCGCTCCAGGGCATTGCGACCAAAGCTGTGTCTGGGCAAGCCAGCTTTCCGGTACTGGATGCTTGACGTATCGTAGGCCAGCATTGTGCTTCTAGGGTCCCCAAGCCCCATCACAGCCTCAGAGGCAGCCATCTCATTTTTGATTTCAAGCGTGCTCAACAAAATGTTTTCATGCGGATCCATCTGTAAGAAATAAGGTGGCAGACTTAGCAAGGAAAGAAAGGACGTCCAAGCAGTTGCAAACTGAAGCCACGCTGACAAGGGTTAGATCTACCACCACTGATTCATTGGACATCAGTCTATCTATAAGACTTCAAGCACAGCCGTGACTATATTTATTGTCATTTGTTTGAAAACTCAAGGAGCAGGAAGGCCAGTACCGTATAACAGAATAAAGGTATTTTCCTGAGCCCTGTAGTCAGTGAGCAGAAACAATACCTGGAAATGGTGTACATACTAATTGCCTGAAAGGGCGATTCTACCACAGGGAGGGATACCTGGGCTAACATTTTACCTTTCGACATTTTTTGGATGGAGGTCTAGTGGGAAAAAAGGGTCTGCCTTACTTTGGTTTTGCTTCTTTCAATAGAAGCTTTTGCTCTAAGAAAAACTTCCGGTAACCCCAAGGCGTTCTCAGTGTCTCTAAAAAAAATGAACCCTGGAGCACTGCACAGCAGAATACAAGTTTTTAATCCCCGTATTGCAGGCCAGACTGCTGGTTACTCAGGGAAAGACACTGGCATAAATATAGCACATACTGTGGAGACCTGAACGCTGGAATAGCAAAGGCCTGCAATTTAGAAGCAAGGAAAAACGTATAATTCAGAGTGTAATCACATCAAATGCACATTGAACAGTTGTTTCAATGAGTGGTTTCAATTACTACACTTGAAAAAAAAGGCAGTTCAGTTAAAAAATATTAACGTAATGTTGTAAATAAAAACTTAGATAATTAACAGGATTTCAAAGCTGAGGGACTAACTTCTACTCCTAGGTAATCTGGAGTAGACCTCAAGTATGGTAGGAGAACTTCAAAATATTCCATTTATACAAAACAAATAGAAGTCATCAAGGAGACACAAACTTTCTGCAGCCTTCCCTCTAAGTATATATTTTGAATTGTGCAATTACAGAACATAATTAAATAAATATGCTTTAAAAAGCAGTAATGGCTAATGGGAAGTTAATTAAGTACCCTAACTTCAGTGGTGGTACTGCAGATGTACTCCAGTACAAATATGAGATGAAACTGTCCCAGAGTTCCTCTAAGGATAACTCAACCACAACATCCATTTACCACGTATATAAAATATATATTATGATTATTATTAAAAGCACATAAACAGTGACTTTTGAGGATTTCTAAACAATATTGCTTTAATCTATTCTGTAATATGTAAAATTCAGCAGTCACCAGCAGGTACCTTGTTGTGCTACCAAATATAGCACAATATTTTCCAGTATTAAAAAAAAAAAAAAAAGTAATATTTCACATGCCTTGATGAAGCAACTGGGTGGAAAAGGGTTGCTTTTCAGTAGTATCCACCACACAGTATTATGAAATGGGAAGACAGACACTTCACAAAAGAGTGCTTTGGACCTACTGAAACACTGCCATTTGAGTGATTACATCTGTTCAGGTGATGCACAAAAATTGGTATCTCTGAGATGCCAGATTTCCTTTTTTTCTTTTTTTTTTCTTCCCACTCCAACCTATCTGAGTTTGCACCCCTCTAGGTTCAATATATTTTAGTTTTGGAGTAAATGTAACAACTTAATCTGAAACAGCCAAAATAGTCTATTTTCACTTGTTTTCAGTGAAAACAATATCGAATCTTTGAACTTCCTGGCAGGTTAGGGTAATGAATCTTTTTTAAGAAGCAGTGGAAAAATGGGAAAGTTGGGCTGAAACTCAAGACAAATTGCTTCCAAAACACTGCAGCATTAAATTAAGTATGGTAAAGAAGTAGTAGCTTGTAGCCTGGAAGCCCACCAAATCAGTTCTGATCTGCAATATACAGAATTAAGGCAAAAAAGAGTTTTGTGCTATTGTAATACAAGCAAAAGCAAACAAGAAATACAAAAGCTTTCAAACAGATCTGTGAAACTTCCAGAGGGCTTGCAAATATTTTATTATAATGAGTGCAACGGTTTACAAAATTATTAGAGATGTCTGGAGTAAGACAAAATTGTTTGACATTTTAGTCATAAGATCTCAGACAAAAAAAAAAAGAAGAGACTTTCAGTATCCCAAAAACGCAGTTATAGGCACTTGGCATTCATTGACCTCAAGAATGTTTATAAACAAACAGGGGAAGTATCTTACAAGGGGGGTGCAAAGCCATTTAGAAACTACATTTTCTATAATGTCACATAGATTTAGCAAGAGAAGAGACATGCTAGTCGTAATGACATTGGGGGAAATTTGACACAGCATCCACTAATGCAATGGTTTTACCTGAAAGCTTAGAGCTTGGCTTACTTTCATCTCAAAGCTGTGCATTCTAAGATACTATCTTTGGGACTATTATGGTGCCTACAAATTTGTTTGCATCTCAAGTCGTCTTAAGATGCATCTACTCTAAACATTTTATGCTTCTGATCTGCAATGATAATAGAAATTTGAGTGGTTCTCACAAACTCATATACTTCCTATGGAACATTAAATATGAGAAGAACTATTAGTCAGTTATTCTTATATCTAGACACATTTTAGTGTACAGCTGACATTCATCCTTCAGTTAACATTTTGCTTTGATTCCTTTGTTACTGCTGCTTACATTAAAGTCACTTAAGCAGGAAGTGCTTAGCAGGAAGGAACTTGTAACTTGGTCAATTTGCTAAGGCAGCAAGTTGCTCCAGATATATCTGTTAGACTTGGCAGCAGTTAGTAAGATTAGCGATGCCGGCCAGAAAGAAATTTAGCAATATTCTAACCTATCTTCTAGGGGAAAGGGTTGTCTTCGGCACATATCATGATATACCATCAGAATTGGAGCACAGCATTTTTCAATATTCCAAGAATTTTTCATAAGAAATAAGTCAAAATACAGTAAAAATTAGTGATAGGCGAACCTTCAAGTGTTTGAATTGCCAGGAAAGCACCATAAAGTTCAGGTGCTTCTGCGGCACTAATCTGACCTTCCTGCACCCGGAACAGTGGACCGACCATTACAGCAACTGTCTTTTTCATGGTATAACAAATCCCCAATGTAAAGAACTCTCACAGTTCCAATCCGGAAATACAAGAGAATGCGAAAATAAAATAAACAAATAAAGAAAAGAAATTAAACTGACTTTACAACCTCTGACAAAAGGTTCCTTGCCATATTAGACAGAGCTGGGAATGTTATTTCCATCAAGCAGGTTCACCCAGCTCTAAATAAAACATGCTTTTGTAACTAAGTGAAGCTTAGATAGAATGGTCATGAATTACATTACTGTACACAGCACCACCCATTCAAAAGGATCCCAAAGCGCTTTACAAGCATTAGGAAGAAGAATCACTTCGCTTGCCAGTGAAGTGCAATCACCTCTGAGGTGAAATGTGGTGACTGACAGTGCAGAACAATACACTATATTTTAGTAGAGGAAATGAAGAATGCTATAGCCAATTGAAACTATGGGGTGGGTGAGTGGTGGTGGGGAATGTCAGGTAAGCAAAACAGTTATATAAATCGGTATTTGGCCAGATGCTTGGGGCTGAGATGTCCATTCTATAAAAAAAAGTGCCATGGGATCTTTAAGGACCACAAGTGGTCAGGACCTCAATTTTAAGTCCCTGAGGATTAAAAAAATAAATAAATTAGAAAACAGTGAAAGATACCTTTGTTGAATACATTTCTGGACAATGATATGTGCCAATTATTCTTCTGTCCTGTAAGTTAATAAAATCAAGACCAGTTTCCTTAGAGATAAGGTAGCTATTATCTTTCATTTAAAAATTAAAGCACGCTAGGGTATTAATAGGATCACTAATTAAAAGATACAGGGACCTCTAAGCCAACAATTAGCAAAAGGATATTCTGGCTTCAGAGGTGCTATTACTGCCTTGCCCTGCTATCCAAGGTAACATAACTTTGTGATGTAAATGTATTTTTTCCAGCTGGTCACTGTGACCAAGGAAGATATGATGATATGAAAACAATTGTTGAAATTATTCTGAGGGGAAAGTAAGTGTAAAAGTGGTTTCAAAGGGAAGTGGAAGAAGGTTAAAAAGATCTCTTGGTGCTGAAGGACTGTTCAACCATAGAACTAGACTCTTCATGGTGAACAGGAGAGTTCAAACTGAAAGGAGAAATTCCCAGGGGCAAGGAAGGAAGGGAGGATGTGAAGATGAAGAAAAAGCACCAGCAAGTGCCATGGAAATAAAAGGTGAATGCAGAAGTGGCGGAGAAGTGACTGGAGCTCAGTAACCATGCAAGAGGTTTTTTTTTTGTTTTTTTAAATCAATCTAAAAGGTGGATGGCAAATATATGATGTAAATGATATTCACTTGTAGGTCCAGGTCAACTAGAGGAAAAGCTGACTCTGGAGCCCTGAAAGAGACCATGAATCAGTCTCTGACTTTTTTGATGGCCTCAAACAAAGGGAATACAGAGTAAAATGCAGAAATGTTACCGCTATATATTCATCTGCTATCTAGAAACTCCAGAATGATGGCTATCTTGAGGAATTCCTCTTACACTAATACATTAGCAACTATAAAATACAATGAAATTACAACTTCCACATTCATACATACCTACACACATTATGTACATAAGGAATCCTTCAAGGGTGGTATCTTGAAGGATCTTGGTGATTATGTTCCACTGTTATGCCAGGCATAGCTTTGTAGTAGGAGGTACATTTGTATCGATGAATTGCAAAGATGTAATACTGACACTTTTACTTCCGTATATTCTGTTCATTTTTGCCTATAAACTAATCTTCAATTACAGGCAGATATTGATGGCTCATTTTAATGCAAAATGGAACAGAAGCCATTGATAAAATAGACAGAGAGCTAGAGGGCAAAACTCCATGAAAAGAGCAAAGTCTTTTGTTAAGTAAGGCTGTCATTAGCCAAAAGCAAAATACAGTGAGGTAAGCCAAGAAGCGAGAGCAGAAATACCTGGTTTATTAGAAAGACTAACACCTCAGATTAGGTCTCAGTATTTATAGGTCCCATGAACTGACATTCTTAAGAATGGAAGAGACAGAAGTAAGATCCATTTAGCAATGAAGACTAACATATATGCCTAGGCATACAGTTTAATTTGTTAGAGAGATAAAGACCTTAATATTAGCTATAGCATACTTCTCCACCCCTTAGCAGCTGAACTTCACTTGGAAAACCAGTGGTGTCCCATTCTTCTCTAGTCTCAGTAGATCTAAGTAAAACTAGCTGAAGGTCCAAAGTGCACCTCATACGTTAACAGGGATCTCCCACCTCATCAGCAAACTTTGGCTTATTGATTAGGAACCGCTGATCACTGGGGACTGCACTGACTACACAAGACAGTGCCTGGAAGGAAGACAAGTGTGCTGAATAAGCTGCTGCTAATTTCACTCTGGAAGAAAAAATTAATGATTTTCAAATGGCCCCTGCCTACAGCTATACAGACATTTTCACATGAAAAGCAATTCTGCTAAGATAGAGCTCTAGGAACTCATAAAACACAAACACCTAATCTTTCAAAATATCCACACGTGAAACACGTCCTTGTAACAAACACTGCATTTCTGTTGTCTGCACAAAATGGAATTTGCTGCCAGCACTGAAGTAACTGTTTATAAAACCACATCAGCATGCATTGGCTCAGATTACATTATACACCTAAAATTTGGGTCAGGCTGTAAAGCATGGAGTCAGAGGAGAGAAAAATGTGACTCACTTATGATTTCAGGTTATTTTGTTTGGTTTCAGCTCAGAAAATCCAGAGAAACTTTGCAGATTCAATTGGGAAATTTTTAAACCTAATTTTTGAACTGACTTTTAACCGAAATGACTTTGACCTAACTTTTTAACTTTTAAACCTGAAATTTTTCAAACCTAAAATTCAAAGCAATTCCAAGCCCATAAAGAATTTTAAAACAAGGAAGGGAGAAAAAAATGCAAGGTCTAGACACTGAGCTTTAACACTGCTGTAACAACTTCTAATTCATTTCCTAGGTATTCAGTTTTACCCTCTGATATATGTGATTTCTTGATCATCATCCTCTGTTAAACATCGGTACCTTAGTCAGAAGTATTCTAGAATTCTGGAGAAGAGGTTGAAACATATGCTTTATCATCTATTATATATGCACAAGATCTACACTTTGGACACTGGAGAATAAGTGGCCACATAAAATAAAGGACAATAAAGTGTCTTTGGCTTGACAATGCACCTGAATAAAAATTGAATATGGCACAGAATAGGGAGAAAAGAGAAATTGGCCTACTGGTATCCAGTCTCATCCCCAGCTTGAAGCTTACAAAAACCATCTTGTAAAATACTCCAGAAAACCTCCCTAGGCTTTCTGGAGTAAAGGGAGATAAATCACCTTAGCCAATCAAGAAAGAAAACTATAGAGTATATGCTACCATTCTGTAGAAAACCAACTTCCTCCTCCTCAATTTTGGCTATGATAATTCAAACCAGTGCAGTCTTCTAGTACAGCAGAAGGAAAAAATTATGTTAGTAAGGCCTTGACATTGTGCATGCAATTTCCATTCTAGCGCAGTAAACAGAGTTGACCACAAACAGTAAACAGGGCTCTGATTCAGGCAGTGAGCTTCTTTAGGACGTTACTTAAGCAGGCGCATGAGTTTCATGGGACTTTAACATATATTAAAGTTAACCGTGACTTCCCAAACTGTGATCTAGAAGGAGACTTTCAACTCTTCATCCAAAACCAGGAATAATACAATAAAAAAAACGTAAAACATAAGAAGGAAAAAATTGTCACTTTCTAATCCCCAAGAACATATCATAATGATGGACTTAAATACTAGGTTAAGGTGAATTCTAATTGGGAAGCAAAAAGAAGAAAGGTTTCAGATTTCTATAAACTTCATACTGATGATATTTAGAGGTAGTTGCCCTCCCTTTAAGAAATTTCAGGCACAGACTTTATATTCTAGCATGAGATTGCAAAATCATCACTCCCATTAAAAATTATTTGTAAGTGATGATAGTATAAAAACCCTTCTGTGAAACAAAAATTCTTCTATGTTAAAGATATGTGTCAACAATTCTTAGGGGGGGAGTTTAAAAATTTTAAAAATAAGTGTGCCTGCAGGACCTGAAAGCATTTATTTGTACATGGCCAATTTCATAAACACTGAAAGGGGAAAAAAAAGTCAACCTTCCACTGAAAATAAGCATAAAGTAAATGACTTGCTTAGAATTGCAATTTTTAAAATGTTAATTACATTTTTGTCAGCAATTCTTTTTTTTTTTTTTTTTTTTTTTTTTTTTTTTTACAGTTGAGAAATTGAGGAGGAAGCAAATGCAGTTAGAATGGAAGTCTTGTGGGATACTAGTTAATGACATTTCTTTCAGAAATACCTACATCCAAGAGATACTCTCTTGCATGTGCGATAAATAAGACCAAAATCTCATCAAATTTCAGTTACGCCCATAGGCTAAGTCTCCTATTATATTGTTTTACAAAATACAGTTGAACAGGTATAGCTAGCACCACAAATCTCTACAGAAACACAGCAAAATTGCTTATAAGAATTGCTTGTAAGAAAGCTTCTCAGTGACCTCTTTTTTAAAATAGTTTCATGAAAGATGAAAAACGCATAGAACATTTGACCATCATCGCAACCAGCAAAATTTCCAAGGTATGATTCAGATATAGTTACAGTTTTGAGGTATGAACTAGACAGCAAAAACAATGATGAGTTTTGAAAATCCAGTTGCTTCTCTAGAACAGACTTCTGTAAAATACATGAATGTTATTTTTCTCGTATGGAGTCAAATACAACATGCAAAGCATTACATAGCATATATTTCTCAGAAGGGTACACGACCTACTGAAGGATTAGAAACGGAAGATGGATTGTATGGCAGTCTACCAGCGTTTCATCCATCTGAATACAATACACTTACTTGGCTACAGATTTAGGATCATGATTGTGGGGGTGATCAGCAACGTAACTGTTGGGTCAGCTCAAAGATTAACAGAAACACGGCTAGAGGCTGCACAAGGTCCAAGGAAAGGCTTTGGGAGCAATGACAAATGCTGAATAAAATGCTGGAGAGAAATCCAATTGTAAATTAATTCAACAAAGAAAACTCTTAGGATCAGACTTTCTAATGCCTTCATGGAAATCATGGGCAAGTTTTCAGTATAAAGAAAACGGAGATGAATTTCAAATCTTTGATAATGAATTTCCAAATGAAATGTACTTATTATGAGTTCAGTGCTGATTTAAAGTCTGAAATACTGGGAACTCCAAGGCTACATAGCCTTTGCAAGGCTCAGAGGACTAGTCCTGACTACATTAAAAAGAACACTGTTCTGCTTTAAAATAATCAGAATTCTTTCTTTTCTCCCCAGAATGAGAACATTCATGCATGATTCACTTGTATACTGACAGTCTAATGTTTTCGGGAGAGGCTAACATTTTGTCACTCATTTTGAAATGACTGGCAAGAATGAAATAAATTTGTTGCCAAGAAATGGTTAGTCATTTCAGATTTGTTTCTCAGTAAATTTCTGTGTATGCAATATATGTTATGTATCATAGCAAATTCTGGATTATACATATGTTGTTTTTATGTATGCATTCATTCTACAGTGAATAAAAACTGAAGTACTGTTTTCTTCTTGACATTTTGGGTGTCCTTTGTGCTTGTAAATTTATATTTTCTGAAGTTGGATTAGTTATATGTTATA